AGAATTTTAGTTAGGCCACACTTGGAATATTGCATACAGTTCTGGTCACTACTTTACCAGAAGGATGTGGATGCTTTGGAGAAGGTACAGAAAAGGTTTACCAGGATGTTTCCTCATATGGGGGATTTTAGCTATGAAGAAAGGTTGGATAGACTGGGTTTGTTTTCACTAGAATGCAGGAGATTTTGGGGCGATCCGATAGTTTATAAGATTGTGAATGGTATGGATAGAGTGGAAAGCGTAAGGCTTTTTCCCAAGGTGGAGGGCTCAATTACTAGGTGACATAGGTTCAAGGTATGGTTGGTGGGGGGTGCAAAGGGGAGGAGAATTTAAACAAGATGTGTGAGGCACCTTTTTCAGTGCCTGGAACATATTGCCAGAGGACATAGTGAGAACGGACACAACAGCAGTATTCAAGAAGCACTTGGACGAATATATGAATAGGAAGGGAGTACAGGGATACGGATCCTGTAAGTTTTATTTGGAAGGGCAAAATGTGTTGGCACAGGCGAGGAGGGCCAAAGGGCCTGTTCTTGTTCTGTATTGTTCTTTATTGTTATTGTTACTTGGTGTTTAATGTACGAAGTACTGAACCTTAAAGAATTAACTGCCACCAAATTCATAAAAACACACTTCACGCTGCTGCCAATATCAACTATCCTCAAACATTACACTAAACCTTGGCACTTTTGGGCAAGTCCTCCTCCTTCACAGCATAAAGCCAGATTGGTTTTACCATCTTTATCTATCACTAAATAGGTTAGTCTTGACATGACCTGAGCAAAGGACTCGTATTGCTGTATGCCTAGGAATCGCAATAAGGTGTTATTCATCTCCAGCTATTTCCCATGTGGATCCAAACTGAAATTAAAGTATGGTGGTTTGGAATCTCCTGTCAGTTCCTTTATATCCTTATTAAGATGTCTATACTGATCACGTTCTCGACCCACTTTTCCAATGCCGCCTTCTCGTCTTCGAACCAAACAGTTACATCTACTACCATGGTCACTTGTCCTTTCTTAATAATTAAGTCTGGCCTTCCAAAGTGACCAGTCTTTGTCTTCCATCCGTGGTTCAGTGAATGTTGTCCAACCGTATTTGGCATTGTTGTGCTTTTTACATAGAACATAGAACAAAGAACCGTACAGCACAGCACAGTACAAGGCCCTTCAGCCCACGATGTTGTGCCGACCTTTTACCCTAAACCTAAGGTCTATCTAATCTCCACCCCTATCTTATACTATCATCCATAGGCCTATCTAAGTGCCGCTTAAATGCCCCTAATGAAGTCGACTCCACTACCCTCTCTGGCATTGCATCCCACGCCCCTACCACTCTCTGAGTAAAGAACCTACCTCTGACATCTCCCCTATATCTACCTCCACTCACTTTAAAACTATGCCCCCTCGTAATAGCTACCTCCACCCGAGGAAAAAGTCTCTGGCTGTCCACTCTATCTATACCTCTGATCATTTTGTACACCTCTATCAAGTCACCTCTCATCCTTCATCGTTCTAAAGAGAAAAGCCCTAGTTCACTCAACCTTTCCTCGCAAGACCTTCCCTCCATTCCAGGCAACATCCTGGTAAATATCCTCTGCACCTTTTCGAACGTTTCCACATCTTTCCTGTAATGAGGTGACCAGAACTGGACACAATACGCCAGATGTGGCCGAACCAGGCTTTTGTATAGCTGGAGATAACTTCATGGCTCTTGAACTGGATCCCTCTATTAATGAAAGCTAACACACCATACGCCTTCTTAACAACTCTATTCATCTGGGTGGCAGCTTTCAGGGAACTGTGGATGTGAACCCCAAGATCCCTCTGCTCCTCCACACTGCCAAGAATCTTTCCGTTAACCCTGTATTCTGCTTTCAAGTTTGTCCTTCCAAAATGAATCACCTCACATTTTTCAGGGAGGGTTAAACTCCATCTGCCACTTCTCAGCCCAGCTCTGCATCCTATCAATGTCCCTTTGTAACCTAGAACAGCCCTCCACACTATCCACAACTCAACCCACCTTCGTATCGTCCGTGAACTTACTAATCCACCCTTCCGCTCCTACATCCAAATCATTTACAAAAATCACAAATAGAAGGACCCAGAACAGATCCTTGTGGTACACCACTCGTAACTGAGCACCATGTTGAATATTTTCCGTCCACTACCACCCTTTGTCTTCTAAGGGTCAGCCAATTCTGAATCCAGTCTGCCACATTTCCCCCCATCCCATGCCTCCTTACTTTCTGCATGAGCCTACCATAGGGAACCTTATTAAACACCTTACTTAAATCCATGTATACCACATCCACTGCTCTACCTTCGTCCACGTGTTTGGTCACCTCGTCAAAAAATTCAATAAGGTTTGTGAGACATGATCTACCCCTCACAAATCCATGCTGACTATCACGAATCAAACTGTGCCTGTCCAAGTGATCATAAAACCTATCTCTCAGAGCCCTTTCCAATAATTTGCCCACCACTGACGTAAGACTAACTGGCCTGTAATTTCTGGGGTTATCCCTATTCCCTTTTTTGAACAAGGGAATGACGTTTGCCTCTCTCCAATCTTCCGGCCCTATACCCATGGACAGTGAGGATGAAAAGATCATTGCCAAAGGCCCTGCGATCTCTTCCCTCACTTCCCACAGAATCCTTGGATAAATCCCATCAGGCCCGGGGGACATATCTATCTTCAAGTTTCTCAAAATTCCTAGTACATCTTCCTTACTAACATCGACCTCCTCTTGCCTACCAGCCTGTTTCACACTATCCTCCTCTACAACTAGGTCCCTCTCAGTTGTGAATACATATTTTTATTTTTGATGTGTTTTTAACAAATGGACAGTTTCCAGATACGTGGGCTAAAGTTTTGAATGGGGCCTCACAGACAGACTTTACGCATATGTGGTCTACCTCTTAATAAGATAGTCCTTGTGGGGTATAGATTGCACCACAATAGCAAGATATTGATTAATCTTGACAGTTTGATGTTGCATGATGTTTTGACCCAAGAATTTGAGATCTTATCATATTTATCATTTTCATTTTAATGGGAAGGCAATGGTCTTGTAGTATTATTGCTTGATAATTAATGCAGAAACTCAGCGAATGTGCTGGGAACCCAGGTTCAAATCGGCTGATCATGGAATTTGAACTCAATCAAAAAACATCTGGCATTAAGAATCTACTGATGACCATGAAACCATTGTTGTCAGAAAAAAACCCACCCAGCTCACTAATATTCTTCAGGGAAGGAACTCTGCCATCCTCGCCTGGTCTGGCCTATATGTGACTCCAGACCTAGAGCAATGTGGTTGACACTCAACTGCCCCCTGAAGCAGCCTAGCAAGCCAATCTGTTCAAGGGCAGAGAGGGATAGCAATAAATACTGACCAGCCAGCAACTCCCATGTCCCATGAGTGAATAAAAAAGTTATAATATTTGATCCCAGATCCCTATCTCTACGATTCCATCCATTTTGTCAGTTCCCACTCTCTTTATGCCTTGTAGTTGGTCTGTGGCCTTGCGTCCACTAATATTTGTTTGGAATCAGCTTGACTCTGAGCTCATCTATTTCTGTTGTGGCATTGCACTTCTCTTTCTCTAGGAATGTCTCAATTTCTTGCAGGACCTTGAACTTGCGCAGTGCATTCACAGTGTCCAAGTTATTCTTTCAACGGAACAGATTGAGGCTTGTATAACTATGTCCATGGATACCTCCAATGACTCCCATTATTGAATAATTGCATTCAGGATCTGGATTTCTAGTTTGGCATACCTCGAGCCCCATCTCTATTTCTAGCATATAGAAGACTCTCTGTTGTATACGGTGGGACGTGTAGAATCTGGTCGTGTTGTGGATTATTAAGTTTACAGAGTGTATTCTGAGACGTTTCACCAAGGATTAAGAGGTAGTACAACCTTGGGTTGTATGCATCTTTAGCAGTTTGATCTTTTGTATTCATCTTATGGGTCTAAGAGCAGCAGTTTCCAGTTTGGAAACCCAGTGTTTGAGTCTCTCTTCCCAATCTCCTTCTGTGATATCTACCCATGGGTACTGTCAGGGGCCTGTAGAATACTCCCACCTCTTCCCGTTTTTATTTCTTACTTCCACCTATATGGATTCTGCAGGTTCCAATCAAAGGTCATTTCTTCTTAGATCATACTTATTCCATCACAGATCAAAGCTACCCTGCCAGTCATTCTTTGCTGCCTATCCTTTTCAAAAGTCACATATCCCCGAGTATTCAAATCCCAGCTTTGATCTCCTTGTAACCATGTCTCCGTAATAGTTTTTAGGTCATTGCCGTTAACCTCTATTTGTGTCATTAATGCATTTAATTTTCACCAAGGCTGCAATCAAGTTGTAAAGAGTGAGTTTAGTTTTGTCACACAGGATGTCATTTGTGCCTTTGGCAAATGCAGTTTCTGGACTCTAATGGAATAGAATCATAATAAGAGGAATTTAAACAGGAAAATCTGGGAAAGTTGGGCACAGATTTGGGAGTTGATGAAATGTTTGAGGACTTTAGAGAGGGAAAGTTGGAGATGGGAAAGCAGTTTGCAAGAACAGTAGGAATCAAGCATTTGTTTCTTTGGAGGGAGTGATAATGACAGACTTGAAGTAACTCTCTTTATTGAGGGAATTTTAGCAATTTATAAGCGATTGAGAAGTTGTATGGCCAGCCGCTTAGTGGGAATCAAGTTGATGAAGCAAGAGATAGGTCTTGTGCACTGAGAGGACACAACTCATGGGAGAGGGAAAAAAAATGCATTGAACACTCAGGCAAGGTGGAGATTGAGTGGCAGTCTGACCCAAAGGATGATGTGTGTAAGTGAGTAAGGCAGCCGATCTGATTATCTCAATCTTAGAGACAATGAAGCTCCATGAGCTCCTCACATTTGTTGTTGGAGTTGAGGATGGAAGAGACAGGGACAGGGAGTGTGCTTCAGAAGGGACAAATTTAAGTTGGAGAAAAGAAAAACCCTTGATAAAATTTGTGATTAACACAAAGCTGATTTATTTGCCTTTACCTACAATATTCACATATATAACTGGACTGGAGTCTATTAGCACCAGCAGAAACAAACCCCAAAGAACACAGTCCAATGCTGAATGTGATTAACAGCTCAATCCAATCATGTGAGCTCGACAGCATTTCAGCAAGTGGGATAACTGAATGAAACTTCTCCCACACGGAGCAGGTGAATGGTCACTCCTCAGTGTGAATTCACTGGTGTACTGTGAAGTTAGGCGATTTCTTGAATTAAGTCTTGCATTGAACTGTATTTTTCAGTGAGAAACCAATGATGGAACACCAGTATAGACATTTAAATAGTCTTTCATCAGTGTGAACACATTGATGGGACAAAAATTCTGAGACTTCTAAGTCACCTGGCATAGCATTAACATTTAAACAGTCTCTCCCCAGCGTGAATTCACTAGCACATCAACAGGTTGGATAACTGAGCAAATCGCTTCCCACACTCAGAGTGAATGGTCCCTCCCCAGTGTGACTGTGCCACTGACTTTCCAAGTCAGAGGGGGAATTGAATTCGGTCTTCATATTTCTACAGTTTCACCCAAGTGTAACCGCACTGTGTCTCAACAGACCAGGCAATCTGCTGATTCCTTGTCCACACAGAAAACGTGCATGGTTTCTCCCGTCTGCTTTTTTCTTCCATGTTCAAAATTTAATGATATTCAGGTTACAATAAACTGGGTGACTATCAGATAGTGATGTCATGGTTCAGTTTAGTTTCCTGACTCCCGGTCCTCTCCTTGCTCGGTCCTATGAAAATGATTTAAGAAAGAAAAAAGTGAAAGAGGGAGCCCATAGAACCACAAAGGCAAATTGTGAGATTTCACAAGTTTCAAAATCTCCCCTCCCCCCACCGCATCCCAAAACCAGTCCAACTCGTCCCTGCCTCCCTAACCTGTTCTTCCTCCCACCTATCCCCTCCTCCCACCTCAAGCCGCACCTCCATCTCCTACCGACCAACCTCATCCCGCCCCCTTGACCTGTCCGTCCTCCCTGGACTGACCTATCCCCTTCCTAACTCCCTACCTACACTCACCTTTCCTGGCCCCATCCCCGCCTCTTCGACCTGTTTGTTTCCTCTCCACCTATCCTCTCCTCTATCCCTCTTCTATCCGCCTCCCACTCTCTCCCTATTTATTTCAAAACCCCCTTCCCCTCCCCCTTTTCTGATGAAGGGTCTAGGCCCGAAACGTCAGCCTCTCTGCTCCTATGATGCTGCTTGGCCTGCTGTGTTCATCCAGCCCTGCACCTTGTTGTCTCTTGTGAAATTGTTCTTTGTTCTTTAAGCTGAATGAGCCTGGTAATTTGTAAGATTGGCAATAAACTAACGTGACTGTGAAAGTTGTCATAAAAATCCATTGGTTCAGAGAAATAAATTTGCTACCCACATTAGGTGTCTTAGGGAGTAGACAGAAACAGAGAGGAAACTAGTGAAGTAGCAGAAACTTATTTTGATAACTCAACCAGAACTCTGACAGAATCTCCCAAGCCCTCAAACTCCATCAGTGTGAACGACCAAGGAGCAGCGTATTTGAACAAAAAAAACATTCAGGTTTGCTCCCAAACACACACTGGCATGACTAGTCTGACACCCAGGATTGGATGAGCAAGAAATTTCCACCCATTAAATACTGGGAAGACTGAAGCCATTGTCTTCAGTGCCAGCTACAAAATACACTCCCTCACCATAGATTCCGCCCCTCTCTCTAGCAACTGTCTGAGGCTGAACAGGCTGTTCGCAACCACGGTGAAATATTACACCCTACACATCCCCATCATCACTAGGACCGGCTGTTCCCACTTGAGTAATAAAAATAGACGATGTTGGAAATATTCTACAGGTCAGGCAGTGTCTGTGGAGAGAAAGAGAGTAAATCTTCCACCTCACAACAACCTTCATCAGAGCTGGGAAAGGCAGATATACCACAAGGTTTAAGCAAGTGAGTAGGAATTGGAGGGGAAAAAAAACGAAGGCTTTAGGATACAGCAGATCCACTTCAGTAAATTGCCAACTTTACCTCTGCCTCAGCTCAAATGTTTTTAAATCTCTCACCCTTTCCACTGTTACCTCTACTCTGTTCAATGCTGATACCTTCCTACCTAAACTCCTATGTTCCACTAAATATAAATAGGTAATCATCCAAACATGAATGCCCATGCCAGTACTCACAAAGTTCTTTTCACTGCCGATCATTTTGCCTATTGATCTACAAAGACTCCTACTTAAGCAATCCCTCAAATTTTAAAATTCACACCCTTGCTGTCCAGTCTTTCATGTTTTGTCTTGTTTTCTCTATTATGTTCAAAAGTGGTTTCCCAGAAATCCCTGTCATCCAGGATAGAAATTCACAACATTGCTTCCTTCTGACTGAGGATGAGTCATGTGATCATAGAGATCTACAGTACAGAAAAAGACCTTTCAGCCCATTGTGTCCACACCAGTCAAACACAACTACCTGTCTGTTCTAATCCCATTTCCCAGCACTTGTCCCAAAGCCTTGTATGCCTTGCTTTCACAAGTGCATATCTAAGTAACATTTGTGCCACAAAAATAGCCAGGCTGTGACCATTACCAGTAAGAAACAATCTATTCATTGCCCTTTGACATTCAATGGTATTTCCATCACTGAATCTCCCACTGTCAATATCCTTGGGGTTACCATTGACCAGAAACTCAAGTGGGCCTGCTACATGAACACAGCGAATACAACAGCAGGTCAGAGGCTAGGAATACTGCAATGAGTAACTCACTTCCTGACACCCCTAAGCCTGTCCATCTATAAGGCACAAGTCAGGAATGTGATAGAATACAGTCCATTTTTCTGAACGAGCACAGCGGCAACAACACTCAAGAAGCTTGATACCATCCAGGACAAAGCAAACAGCTTGATTGGCATCATATCCACAAGCATCCATTCCCTCCACCACCAATGCTCTGTAGCAGCAGTATGTACTATCTACGTGATGCACTGCAGAAATTGACCAAAGATGCTCAGACAGCACCTTCCAAACACATGACCACTTCCATCTAAAAAGGACAAGGGCAGCAGACACATGGAAACATCACCAATTGCATGTTCCCTTCCAAGCCACTCACCATCTTGACTTGGAAATATATCACTGTTCCGCTGCTATCGCTGGGTCAAATTCCTGGAAATCTCCCCCACTGTTTTCCCCCCCGCTTCAAATGACATTGTGGGTCAACCCACAGCAGGTGGACTGCAGTGGTTCAAGAAGACAGCTCACCACCACCTCAAGGGCAACTGTGAACAGGCAATAAATGCTGGCCAGCCAGTGACGCCCACATCCCTTGAATGGTTGAAAAAAATTCTTAGAAGTTATTACCATTTCTGCCTCTGCCACCCTTACAGGCAGTGAATTCAGATTCCCAACACCCTCTGGGTGAAAAGGTTTTTTCTCACATCTCCTTTAAATCTTAAGTGTATTCGTCCTGGTCATTGATCCCTCCATCAAGGGGAAAAATTCCTTCTTGTTGACCACATCTATGCCCCTCATAATTTTATATATCTCAATTATGTTCCCTCTCAATCTCCTCTGCTCTAGAGAAAACAATTCCACTGTGCCTAATCTCTTTTCATAACTGAAATTCTCCAGCCCAGGTAATATCCTGGTTAATCCCCTCTGCATCCTCTCCCGTGCTATCATATCCCTTGCATAATGTGGATTCCAAAACTGCAAACAATAGTCTTGCTGTGCCCTAACCAATGTTTTGTTAAGTTGCAGCATAACCTCCCAAAATCTGTGCCTTAGCTAATAAAAACAACTATCCCATATGCCTTGTTAACCTTTTTATCTACTTGCTGTGATACCTTAAGGGATCGGTGGACAAGAACATCCAGGTTCCTTTGATTCTTGGTACTTCGCAGGGTCCTACAAGTCTGACTGGAAATCTGAGTCAGAAAAATAAACACTCCTCAACCATCACCCTCGGCTTCCTGCCACTGAGCCAACTGTGAATCCAATTTGCCAAATTTCCTTGGATCCCATGGGCGCTTACCTTTGCTATCTCCATGTGGATGATTGACAGTAGTTTCTCCCTGCTGCACCTCACTATTGTTCTCAGAACTCATTTATGTTTCTAGATTCAGTTCCGTCAGCAACACCTCCACCAAAATAAAAGCAAAAAAAAAAAAAAAAAAAAAACAGCAGGGACAGAAACAGAAAATGCTTCAAGGAATGAGAAACAAATGACAGGGAATAGAAATAGAGTAGAATGTTAAAAATCGATATGCTCTCTAAAGTGCAAGAGAAATGGAATGCAATGCAGAAAATTAACATCCTGACTGTAAAAGATCATGTAGGAAAATAAAATTGGTAAGTCAGCAGCACATGGTGAAGGAATGGGCAATGGTGGAAACCTCGTTTAGCACTGGTCGGGAAATGCAAGAATAAAATAGTAGGCAGAGCTAAAATATATCTATTATTAGAAGCTGAGCAAGTTAGACATGGCAGAAAGAAGATCAATGAGGGCAAAGTTGAAACAGAGCAATGTTGGACATGGATTCAGATCGACAGTAAAGGAACTACACGAGCCCCGGAGCCAGTGAACATCTCACTTATGACAGAGCACAACACTGAAGTCTTTACCTTGTAGATAAATGGGCAAAAATACTCTGAACACAAACCGTCCTCAATTTTAAAGTCTCTCTCCGGAGCCTGCAGTTAGAAACACTGGGGTCAGAGAACAATCTCACAGTTAAGGAAATCCCCAGGGAGCGGGTGATATCACCGTGCAGTTGTTATTGTGTGATGACATCACACACAGGAACACAGAGCATGTGGGTCTGTGCGAACCAGAGATCATCACACATTGTGAAGGATGGGAAGGTCGCCGAGTGTGAATGGGGCAGAGGAGATTTACCAGAATAGTTCAAGGAACGAGGGATTTTAGTTGGCAAGGTTAATTAAGAAAGAATGAGATTGTTATCCTTGAACCCAAATAATTTGGAGGAGACAATTCTGAAGAAGAGTGACTGGACTCAAAAGACTCATTTTCATTCATTCACGGGATAAGGACATCGTTACCTAAGCCAGCATTTATTGCCTAATCATAATTGCCCACAGGGCAGTTAAGAGTCAACCACATTGGTGGAGTCGCATTTAGGCCAGACCAGGTAAGGATGGCAGTTTCCTTCCCTAAAGAACACTAGTG